GCTTTCAGTAGTACGGGCCCATACTACCTTCTACACCTACCCATATTTGTCTCAAGTATCACCACAACACCCTAAAAATATACATAAACATGGTGAGCGCTCGATCCTCACTCCTAGAGGAATGCTAAATATCTTGTAACCGGCCACCCGACACTACACAACCCACCCATGAAACTTCCACCAACCCTGCAGCCCTCGTGTATGCTAACCATACATAATGTTGGACCATATAGAGTTTCGAATACTCAATCCTACTCTAAGCCCACAACCAGAGAAGGAACATGAAATAAATCCAAACCAAACATTCTCAGGCTATAAGATCTTAATTATGTACAGTCGTGATGCATACACTAAGAAACTACAGTAATGATGTCAATTTCATATAAGGAAAACCTTAGGCTGTCAAGCATCATATAATCAGGCAATTATATCATGCAATTCCTGAAGATCCCTAGCCTAGTACTAGCATGCTGTTCTATCATATCACAAAATCAAATAATCTGCAAGGTATTTTGGGGTGTATCTGCGAGCTCCAGTTGATTGTACACTTGCATCCTCCTTTAGTATTTTGAAAACCATTTAAAAAAAATCATTTTAAAACCTCATCCTTAGTTTGAGACTGGAGACACATGAGTATTTCCTCCAATTCACTCAAACCAAGGCTCTGATACCAACTTGTAACACCTATAAAATTCTAGCCATTTTTTTTTTTAATATTTAAAACCATTAAGTTATTATAGTTTGTTTTCAAGATAGTTTAACATCAGAGTATCCCCATAATCAAATCATAAAATCATGAGATACGAGGAGTTGTACGATCATGCCTTCGCCTTCCAGCGATCATCAGAAGTACTCAAAACTTAATCAACAATTGTAAGCCCGAAGCTTAGTGAGTTTCCCCAAAATACCAAAACCATATAAATATAACCATATCATATAACAAATAAGCAAATAGATACAAAACAACATGCATAATGAGCCATCAATCTAACTAGACTGAAATCCAGGTCCTCAGTCTAACTGGACTGCTCTTCGAGCCCTTGGCACGTCTAGACTGCCCTCCTTGGGGCCTTCAGCCTATCCGAACCACTCGTTGGGCCTTCGACCTGACTGGATTTGCCTAGCCCGGGCCTGCAGTCTACCCGATCCGCCCAGGGTGTCTTGGCCTACTGCACACAGCAGGACCTGCCTCAACCCTTTCCCCCAAACAAACAAATAGGTGCATATACATATAATCAATTAAGCATACAAATCTAACAGATCACTAATCATGGCAACCATCCTATAACCAGGATACCGATCTAACCAATCTCTAACATAGCAACCATCCTAACTACCAGGATGTAATCAACAACATATCATGCAATAAATCCGGATGCAAATCCGATAAGGGCCGACATTGGTGCCTTAGACCCTGTTGATATAGTGAGGACAACTCACCTGGCACTCCTGAAGTCTCGTTGATAAAATCCAGCTGCTGGTTGATAGTTTCTCGAACTGTCCACATCAAACAATACCCAATTAATAATTGGGTTCCAAGCCTAAGGTCCAACTCACACTACAAAGGCCCAATAATCAAGTAATGGGCCAAAACCCAACATATGACCCAATTTTCCAAATTAGGCCCAACCCTTCACATGGGCCTTACCTTAAGGCTCATTCAATTATTCTAGTCCAAACTCTTGGTATTCCCATGGACTAATATCACATAATCATAAAGGCTTAGTTATGGCCCATCTATGGCCTAATTTTCAAAATTGGCTCTAAGTCTCTCACATTGGCCTTACCCTAAAGCCCATCTAATTATTTTGGTCCATTAACTTGTTCTTGGATAGCCCATCCATAGTCCAATCACCAAAGCCCAAAAGGAAGGCCCAACTCAAGGCCCAAGTGAAAATAAGGTTTCACATGAATGACAATTAGGGTTAAGTGTTCCTACTTAACCAATTAAGGACTTACTCCATTAATGACTTAATTCATTAAGTCCATTATTATCTTAGGTTAATTTGCCCATGATTATAATTTAATATTTTAAGTTTAATAATTAATTCAAGTGCGAGTCCCGATCAATCCCAAAATTAGGGTTTCATGGCATTAGGGTTTTCCAAACCCTAATTAGGGTTTTCCAAACCCTAATTAGGGTTTCCAAACCCTAATTAGGGTTTCCAACCCAATTGCTAGCCCATTAATCAATTGGTTGGGCTTTTGGGTCCATTAGGACTTCCTTGGGCCCATTAGGGTTCTTTGGCCCCACTAAGGTCTCATTGGGCCCACTAAGGTTTCATTGAGCCCATTTTGTCCAAACATCCCAAACGAGTCCAAAAAAAATGAAAACGAGGCACACCGCCACCCAACACGACGGCCGGTGGTGGTTTGAGCATTTCTTTTCATTATTCCTACTCTATTACAGTTTTACAATGCAATATCGATAACACAAACACACACACACTAAGCTACACACACACAACAATAAAATTACACACACCCACAGCCACCCTTGTGGTGGCTAGTGGTGGTATATGGTGGCAGCCACCATGGCTGGCGGCCATGGTGGGTTCTCCTCGATTTTCCAGCCATCAAACAACACCAACAACACACGGAATTCTAATTTATACAAAGGATTCCGGCCACCCACCTAGTGATAGCGCCGACACGGGTAAACAGGCAGCAACGCTAGCGGCAATGTCGTCGGCGGCAACCACCATGGCCGGCTACCATGGTGGCTTGTCTTCGAGTTTTTCTGTCCCTTGAGCATCCCTATCGCAATCCGCAACCCAAGTCACCCACGAGCTTGTGAGGCACGATATAAGCACGCACACCTGAGCTTAGCAGCAGCGACAATCCATCGCCGGAACAGCGACTACATCAGCAGCAAAAGAAGAAGGAGGATACGACAGTTTACTGCTTCATGCAACAGAGTAGCGGCAACACAAGGTAGTGGCAACAGTGGGGCTATCGGTCGGCTATAACGGAGCTGGACTCGGTTGGTGGTTCCCGAGCATTTGTTACATTCCCAACGGCGGATGAGGGCTTCCATGGCGGTGACGAAGACTGAAAGGCATCCTAATCTAGCGGCAACGGCAGTGTCACACGCTATCTGGTTTCCCAGCAGCCCTCGAAGTCTCCGGTCGCAGAAAACGCCACTAGTGGCCTTGCTGATTCGGAAAACGGAATGATATGGAGGTGACGATAGAGCAGTGGCGGATGGAGTGTGAATTGAGAAGATGACGGATGCACACATGGTCCCTAGGGTTAGGGTTTCGGAACCCTTAAATACCCGCTTCCAATTAAAACTTTGCCATAATGGCAACTATAGTCCCTCCCCATAATATTCCGTTCAATCATAGCCCATTATTTAACTTTTCAACCCTGGCCTCTGTAATTCTTTTCAAATCAGGCCCGAAACTTACACTTCAGCCCTTGACTCCATAAAATCCTTTCAATATAAGTCCCGCACTTACACTTTAACCCTCAGGAATCAAAAGTATCTCACTTGGCACCCTAAAACCAACACCCCACTAATTATTATTTGATTTGGACAATAATAATATAAAATAATAGTAAAATTATTTCTCGGGGTTTCGGGTTTTATTATATTAATTATTATATTTTTTTAAATGGGATGTTACATGTTTAAAGTGGGATTTCCAAATAGTATACTCTGTATACCAAACAGACCCTACCTTCAATATCATCCTACCTGGTTGTTCCTTACTTGATAGATTTTGATGTAGACATTGTGATTGTTGAGAAATCTAGACTATTAACAGTCACGAGGAATATTAAACTAAGACTTAGTGATAATTGAACCTATGTCACATAAAAGGAAAGACTAAGTGTTGAAATAAAGCGTTGCTCAACTTTCCAGTTATCCACTTTAACAATTGAATGCATAGTTACTTTCAGCATACACACACACACACACACACACACATATATATATATATATATATATATATATATATATATAAAATATCTATATGATTAAATGTTATGTGTGTATATTATAGGTATTACTTGATATCTGTGTTAGATGAATTACACGATTTTTACTTGATTTAATCATGTATGTATTTTCATATTTGTATAAAATATATTGGATAATGATGGGTGATGAAAATGATTTGACTATTGATGAACCAGTCATTTAGTAGAGTATCGATTACGACCACAAACTATTCTAGACAGTCGACTGGAAACACTAACAGGCTCACAATCTGTAGGTGTTAATGAACTATCTGTTCATTTTATGTACTCTATCCCCTATGGTTGCCTTATTCTCATATATTGCTAAAAGAATCCCCCAAACAATATTGTCTATCCGTTGCTGATGATGATCCTTAGGATATGTCCCTCGAGATCAATATTTTAGGATCAATATATGAGAATAATTGGAATGGGTAATCAGGTAAATTATTTGATGTGAAGTATATAGTTATATAACTTAATTATTATGGGTTGACAACCTTATGTGCTCACGAGACTCCCAAGTCTAACCACTCAGTTTCTTTGTATCACATGTAACGGTACGAGGGCACAAGATTGATGAGTGATTTATGGATGTTGTAGGCCGTTAGTATAATAAGATGTTGTAAGGTCTATTAAGACTTGTTTATGTTTATGTATTTGTATCGACGATGACATCCCATGGTTTTAAATATAAATGAAAAATGTTCTTGAAGAAATTTATTACGTTTTGGGAACAAATTACACAAGTTAATGAATACTTTGAATTTAAATAAACATATATAAAAAGTTTTAAATTGGCCGTGAAAATGAAGTGTAACACCCCATTTGTTCGTTTCTTTCTCTATCCTCCAATCCAATAAATCAAAGAAGTTCATTCAAGTGTGATTAAAAAAAATGAAAGAGTAGGGAATAGAAACTTGAAATTAAAATACATAAATACACAATGTGTGAGTTTGGTTTGATTTCATCTAGGTACATGCATTTTTGACAACGGAACTTTCTACTAATCACTTAAAAAACCAGTAAGATTTTTGTATTCAAAGATTTCGAGTGGAATTTGTAAGAATTAGTACCCGTTATGAAGCCAATAAGCTCAATGCCAAGGTCTTCAAAAGTGTAGGGCTTTCGGTTGCGCAATGGATGTACAATTATAGATTCCTCAAATATCTCTAATGAAATCAAAATCCATACATACCCGATTTCTTTAAAAAAAATACGAATCACACACATCAAAACATTTATGAGAACCAACAACAAATATTAGAAAAATATGAAATTAACCGATAATCACAATGGTTAACAAACCTAAGGAACTATGTGTTGGCCGATAATCAAGATTTAGATTTGTCGGTGGTGTAACAAAGAAAAACAAACCCATTGCAGCAAATGTCTATCGTCTCTTCTCCTCAAAAACCGATCTCCAACTATTTATATATAATATAATTTATATAAAGGGTTGTTAAACTTGTGCAGTTGTACTTATCAAAACAATAATAAAAATTTGTTGTGTCATGGGTTCGTAAGAATTCTCCTTTTATTATAAAATAATTCTTGTCATTGTTGACTTTCTTTTTCTTATTAAATGATTAAAGATTAAAGATAATAAATTCTATTTGATATGGAATATAAGGTCGTTAAGCGTAACCATTTACACATACACATAAAGTAATATTTTATACATAAAAGAAAATTTTAAATATATCGAAAGAGCAGCCTATTTCTATGCATTATCGTTTTACATGATTTTTTTTTGTGTCTCTATTTTACGTAATTTATTTTTTGTGTACTGTACTCAATATGCCTTAATAGGAAAACCCCAAAATCCCAAATCCCATTCTCAATGATAATCGTATATACTTCGTAGTCCTAAAGTTTCAGATTACGACACCACATCATGCGAGAGGCATTATCCACCCACTACACAACACACATCATTATCCTTTTTATATTTATATTTATATTTATCATATATTAAGATTATATTTTACAGAAAAACTGATAGAAGAAAGGCTATGTATTGGCTGTTAAAAAATTAACCTTTGATAAATCTAATTGGTAAACTAGTTTAATATTAATAATATAAAAAGATGTGTAGAAGATATAATTTTTTATAATTAATAAATAATATATTTAAAAGAAAATCAATAAGATCGTTCAAACATAGTCTTGGTAGTTTTGAAAAAATTAACTTATAAACATCTTTTAATTTACTAAACATAACAATTAAAATACCTCAAAAGAAATATAAATAAATAAATAAAATAAGCTATGATATTGGAAACAAAACTTAAATATTATAACCGTATATATATAAAAAATAAAACTTCTTAGTTAAGCATAAATGTTAATACAATATTTTATGTTACCTCCCAATGTAGTTTTAATTATAGATAACAATCGTATCATGTTTGGTTGGCCGGTTGGCGGGTTATAAAAATTCAATCCGGACACAAACCCATATAAATATTTGTGTTGTTTTGTTCAACCGTAACACATATTAGCCACAAATGGATCAACCTGCATAACCTATTTAATTTTAAGAGTTCGTGGATCAAATTCGGGTTCACGGGTCAGATTCACGTTCATGTTTCAGAATTGGGTTTGTGGTATATGGAGAAAAGGTCTAAATATCACATATTTACTTATTTGTAACGTCCAAATTTCAAACCAAAATTTTTATTTTTAAATTAAGATTAAACACCCAAAACCATTATTTTAATAAACAACATTATGTATAATTTGTTTCAAAGCTTAAATCATAATGTTAAACTACACTGAATTTATAAAAATCAACAAAAGTCTCATAAGAATATCATAACATTGATGCGAGTGTACAATCACACCGTGCATTTCTCTTTCGCACCTGAAAAACATTTAACTTAACAACATAAACATAAAACTTATTGAGTTCTCCAACATACTACATATTCCACTATACATTCAATGCATACAACAATAAACTCACAGTCTCATTGTGCATAACAAGTGTAGGCTCCCAACCATCATACAACTATATAGGCACTTAGCTATTGATAAACTATAGGCTCTTAACCCTCATACAAACTATAAGCTCTTAATCATCACACATATTGTACTGAAGTCAATGCTTATATCGGTGAGTTGCCTTATGAATGCTTAGTTGTACATAGCTGAAAGTAAGTTATACAGTCGAACATGTGTTCCTACCCAAAAACAATATACCAAACAAGGACCATACAATACTGCCAGATCAAGAGTTTTAAGGCTATGATTTTAACTACGTTGGACACTACGTTCCTGGATGAAAGGAAAAAGGATAAAGAAAGACCTGGGAACTTGATTAGTGCCATTGGTGAGTTCAAAATTGATTCCATTGGTTTGTTGGATAAAAAGAGTTCAAGAAATTGTTGACAATGTTGAAAAAGATTTAAAATATTTCGACATTGTATATTCTGGCTTCAAATGTCAGTTTATAGTTTGTTAAAGACCATAGAATTAATTCTAGACGGATTTTGTAAGATGAGAAATGACTACAAAGAAACCTTCCAAAAATGTGAAGTTAAGTTGAAAAGTTTGTTAAAAGAATACAAGTTGAAGATTGCTAACATTAAGGACAACATAACTTTGAGCTCAAATGCACAACTTTTAATGTCTTTTGACGATCACGTTTCCAAAGATATTAAAACATATATCTTTTTCTGCCTAGATGAAACCTATGTGGAGTTGGTTTCTAGGCTACCTACGAATGCTCAAAAGGTTACTTCGTAACCTTTGTTAAAAGGGGGAAAAGTTGTTAAACTATGTCTTTATGATGAAAATGAATCTTCCAAAACCATATGGTTTAGGTAGTGCTTTGGGAAACATAACTTATGTCATCAAACTTATTGAATTTGAGATTATTAAACCTTTAAAGTCATAGTGCAAGTACAAATTGGTTAAATTCAAATTGTGGAAACAATTACAACCACTTCAACTGCTACTATGATGAAGCCAATTCAATTTTGAATCTTACAAAGAAATCACCATTGGAAAGATCAATATTTCAACAGCTACAAAAGATGTTTTAAATATGGCTAAAGGAAAAGGAAAAGAAATTGCTTTATCTGATAAGGAGTTGAAGAAGATAGAAGAGGAGAAGTTTAAAAGATTAAGGCAACTCAAAGTCATTGTTAATTGAAGGGAACAAATGTCAAAAGGAGCATAAATGGGAGATGTTAACAAAAATTGGAATGCTAGATGATTTGGTATGTTGCATTCAGTGATATTGACTTCTTTGAGAAATCCCTAAAGAAA